CTGCCACATTGCTTCCAGCCGTTTCCAAATTGTCGCATTGTGCTAGACTGTACTGAAGTAGCTGTGTCCAACACAGAAAGTTTGGACACCCAAAGTCATCTGTACAGTCATTACAAAGGATGTACCACACTTAAGGCTCTGATTGGTGTGGCCCCCAATGGAGTCACAACATTCGCCAGTGACCTATTTGGTGGAAGCACATCAGACAAAGCGATAACAGCAGACTGCGGAGTACTCCAACAGCTAGAAGCAGGTGACATGGTGATGGCTGACAAGGGTTTCACTATTCGTGACATTTTACCTGCAGATGTTTCACTGAACATCCCAATATTCCTTGTCAACGGACAGTTCACAAGGGAGGAAAACAATTACAACAGACTTATTGCCAGTGCAAGAGTTCATGTAGAGCGTTCCATTCAGCGCCTCAAAACATTTCTCATTTTGTCCTACATTCCATACCAGTATAAAAAGCATGCCAACAAGATTTTGAAAGTTTGTGTGTGTCTCACAAATTTACAGACACCCATTCTCCGTGAAATAGCATGAATTTCCTCACTGTTTGCCACAATGCCATCATCAGCCTTGATTATATATATTTTTGAACTTTATTCCATAAGAAATGTATCAATATAGTTGTTTTTTCCTTGCTAATCAATTTTCACAAACTGAAATGTTTAACAATAAATGTTAGATTACTTTTTATGGTGTTTGTCAAAACAATTGTGTTTAATCCACCATAAAATGTGAATAATTTGGAGAAGTACTTAGATATCCATTTGACAGCGTGGATGAAAGGGCAGCTGAACTATCTAATAAAAACAAGTCTTCACAGTGATTCTGTTGCTCCCACTCAATTTATTTGGACTACATGGGTTTCCTCGTTACTGCTTTTTTCAGAATAAATAAAACAAAACAAACAGCAGCAACTGGTACAAATGCACAGATGTTAATATATCTTAAACATTAATCTCAAACAAGTACAATTTGGGGAGGCTTCAACATTCAGAATGAAAATCCTGCTTTAGAACATGTAAAGAATGCAGGGTTAATCATTTAATATCGGAGAGAATATGGGGCAGGAAAAAATTCTTATAAAATGTTTCTAAAACAGTAATGTTGTTTGCCCAAGCTGGATCTTTCTGGATGAATAGGATTACAAGATCCAGCGGAGTCCATACCACCAGGTGACAAGTGCCAGCTCCTGTCAGGTACAGGTTGCCCTGAATCTGATGCCAGTAGTTGTGGGTCTGTTTCATTTTCAGTAGGCCAGTGACTTCATCCAGTTTGAGATAAAAGTCCTTTGCCTCTGCTGCCTGAATTATGGTCTTCTTTCTGGCTGCATAGGGACATTTTACCTCAATGATGCAGTCATCAGATACTAGCCCATCTGGGGAGCCACCAAGCAGGCCACTGTCAGAGAGAAACACGCCGCTCTCCTGGAAGGTCACACCAGTGCGCTTCATATACTCTTCTTCTGCCTTTTGCTCATGCACGATTCCCCAATCACAAGCCTGGGGGCAGAAAGGGAATTCCATACACAATGTGCTTTATAAAGGGAGAGAAGGAAATAAGTGTAAGTGTGTGTGTGTGTGGTAGTGTGAGTGTGAGCGTGTGTGTATTTGTTTGTTTTACAGCAGCTAACGTAGCTTTTAAAAGCCAAAACAAGGACTAAAGGATATGTTTTATTACAGTACCCCAGGGTTAAAATCACTTGGTGTCCATCACTTACATGAGCTCCCTGCTTGAGATTGTAATGACCAAGCAGGGTTTTGAATAATGAAGGAGGGTAAGAGTTCCTCTTCACTGCTGCCAACACAAGACCAAAGTTGCTGGCTGTTATTCTCTTCCTGCGATATGCCATCCTGTTATAAATAAACACGCAGCAGTTAACCTCACAGCATTTTTAAAAAGCTATACAAAGAAAGAGCTAGTCACTAATGACTTTTAGTACATCTGAAATCAATAGATCTTTGTGTCTCATTACCATAAGGCATTCTTAGTTTGCCCAACTGTGGCTCTCTCAATGGCTTCCTTCTGTTGTGGGCTCACAGCAAGGGATGAAAGCATATACAGCGCTTTGTCCTCTGCATCACCATAACTGGAGCTGGCCAATAGCCCATCAAAAGTTTTGATGTGATGGGATGGGTCAAAAGTCTGTCCCAAAAGATATAATTGAATCAGAAAAAGCAACAATTAGATCCATACAAGTCAACATTGTTCACTGACATACATATATGTTTGTTTACTCAGTATGAAATTTAAATGAAAGTGTGAACATGTTTGTCTGATTTGCAATGGTTTGCATTTGTCAAACTAAATTTACCATCTAACTAGGGATATCTGCAACCTTTGTAACTGATTTAATGTGGTGTACATGTGAAGTTTCTGATAAGGCAGGACATGAAACAATAAAATACAAAACACAAGTCAAACCTGGGGCAATTCTGGAGCAATTATCCAACCCAGACCTGTAAAACGGTCAAGCTGTGCCAAAGATGACAATGCCCATTCTCTGTCCTCCTGGGTGACAGGTCGTTTAATTCCAGCTGAAATAATAGCATAAAAAGTTATGATGGTAACTGATATGGATTTAAGTGAGAATACCACCCCAGTAGCACCATTCATTTCCAACACCTTAAACCCAGGTTTAGATTTTAGTATGGAAAGAAAACATAGGGTCATGGTTTTTCAATGATAACAAAACAGAAAGCATGACTGATATCTCCTAGTTACTCGAAGTACTAACCTTGTGATGTGGAAGGTGCAATCACAGACACTTTCTTTGATGTGATTTCCTCTGTTTTGGGTGTCGTGGGCCTCTTCCACATACACTCGACATCTGTGCGAGTAAAGTTCTTCTCAGCCCAAATGAGGAGAGCTGCAACATGGTGGCACTTGGACCTCCCGATAGCACAAGAGCAAGTACTTGCCTTCACTTCCTGACCCTCAACGTGTACCTGAGTAAAATCATCTTTGCTAACTCTCACAAAAAACTCCTAACAATGGTAAAAGACAGAGAGCAACACTTTGTCTTGCACTAGGTGGTGCTAACAACTCGTTAAGTAACGTCCTAAGCAGTCTAATCTGTATTGGGCGAGTACCTTTCCAGAGTAAGTTGTCAACAAACCATAGGTAGTTATTCTAACATAGCTAAGTACAATAGTTAACGTCACACTGGTAAAGTGGTCGACAGCCTTATGTTAGCGAGTTAACGCTAACGTACTAAAAACTTGTAACATCTGAACCATGAGAAATGTTCAATCTTTTTATGGTAAAGGGCGACAGCTAAACCATTGGACTAACAATTTGTTGTATGTATAAAAAAGTCGTAGAATTTTGGGCCGTCAGAGTCAGTACCTCACCTCAACCTCGTAAATTTTACTTTTCATTGAAGCCTGTACTTTCCCTTTAACACTTCCACCTGCCAGCACACTACCATTTACAACTCTGTTTGAGTTGTAGGAGTTAAGACCCTTTTTCACTGACTTTGGGATGTCAGCAAAATACGATGTCACCGTGAAAAAAGTGACCGGTTCCTTGGCTACCACCATTGTGTTTACCTTAAGTACAGCGGGTTGGACACGAAAGTGATGAAGTCCTGAAGGTCGTGGGTTCAATTCCCACCTCTACACCTTCTCCACCGACTCCCACTGATGACTGCTGTCGTTGTGTCCTTGGGCAAGACACTTAACCCCACTTTGCCCAAAGCCCCCACTGAAAAATCAAGGCTATGCTCACACTCAGAGAGCAGCCGTCCTCCTGTGGACTCACCACCTGCAGAGGGTCAGTGAGGGGCTGGTGCTATGAGACTTGGGTGGCATCTCTGACTGCCACCCCCCTGACCCAGAAATGGATTAAAGGGTAGAAAATGGATGGATGGCATATATTTTAAAAAAAGAAGAAGCCCGAGCCCGGCACGAACCCGACAGCTGAGCGCCAAAATCAGGCCCGAGCCCGGCCCAAACTTAGGTCGGGCCTCGGGCCTGCTCGGGCTTGGGCTGAAAAGCGAAACTCTAGTCTGAACGCACCATTAGAATACTACATGTTAGCATACTACATGTTAGCATACTACATGTTAGCATACTACATGTTAGCATACTACATATTAGCATGCTACATGTTACCATGCTACATGTTAGCATGCTACATGTTAGCATACTACATGTTAGCATGCTACATGTTAGCATACTACATGTTAGCATGCTACATGTTAGCATGCTACATGTTAGCATGCTACATGTTAGCATACTACATGTTAGCATACTACATGTTAGCATGCTACATGTTAGCATACTACATGTTAGCATGCTACATGTTAGCATACTACATGTTAGCATGCTACATGTTAGCATGCTACATGTTAGCATGCTACATGTTAGCATGCTACATGTTAGCATGCTACATGTTAGCATGCTACATGTTAGCATGCTACATGTTAGCATACTACATGTTAGCATGCTACATGTTAGCATACTACATGTTAGCATGCTACATGTTAGCATGCTACATGTTAGCATACTACATGTTAGCATGCTACATGTTAGCATGCTACATGTTAGCATGCTACATGTTAGCATGCTACATGTTAGCATACTACAGCTGCTGTCTCCATGGACTGTTTCCTCTGTGTAGCTTTAATATGTAATCTGTGGGTTTGTTTCTCCCTGTGACATTACAGATTTTGTTCATGGAAGTATTAGTGATTGTGAAAAGTTTAAATAACTGACCAGAGACACCTCCTCACTGACCTCCTCCATGTCACGGTGGTTATAGTCTGCAGGGCTCATGGGCTAACAGCACAGCTTGTCCTCCATAGCTGTTGTGTTGTCGTCCCCCTCGGTCCTGCCGAGAAATGCGTTACCACGTCACTGTTGGAGGAGGCTCCTGATTGGTAGACGCTCTCGTCTTCTCCCGAAAAGTTCAACATTGTTCAACTCGAGCGTCATCCGCGGGTCACGCGCTTCACGCCCGTCAAGACGTTAGCACATTACGTTAGCACGTTAGTCAACACTGTCCAGAACACTGTCCAGAACACTATCCAGAACGCTGCCCAGAACGCTGTCCAGAACGCTGTCCAGAACGCTGTCCAGAACACTGTCCAGAACGCTGTCCAGAACGCTGTCCAGAACGCTGCCCAGAACACTGTCCAGAACACTGTCCAGAACGCTGTCCAGAACGCTGTCCAGAACCCTGTCCAGAACCCTGTCCAGAACGCTGTCCAGAACGCTGTCCAGAACGCTGCCCAGAACGCTGTCCAGAACACTGTCCAGAACACTGTCCAGAACACTGTCCAGAACGCTGTCCAGAACGCTGTCCAGAACGCTGCCCAGGACACTGTCCAGAACACTGTCCAGAACGCTGTCCAGAACCCTGCCCAGAACGCTGTCCAGAACACTGTCCAGAACACTGCCCAGAACACTGTCCAGAACGCTGCCCAGAACGCTGTCCAGAACGCTGTCCAGAACGCTGCCCAGAACGCTGCCCAGAACGCTGTCCAGAACGCTGTCCAGAACGCTGTCCAGAACACTGTCCAGAACGCTGTCCAGAACCCTGTCCAGAACCCTGTCCAGAACACTGTCCAGAACGCTGTCCAGAACGCTGCCCAGAACGCTGTCCAGAACCCTGCCCAGAACGCTGCCCAGAACACTGTCCAGAACACTGCCCAGAACACTGTCCAGAACACTGTCCAGAACACTGTCCAGAACACTGTCCAGAACGCTGTCCAGAACCCTGCCCAGAACGCTGTCCAGAACACTGTCCCGAACACTGTCCAGAACGCTGCCCAGAAAACTGTCCAGAACACTGTCCAGAACACTGTCCAGAACGCTGCCCAGAACACTGACAGAACACTGTCCAGAACACTGTCCAGAACGCTGTCCAGAACCCTGCCCAGAACGCTGCCCAGAACACTGTCCAGAACACTGTCCAGAACACTGTCCAGAACACTGCCCAGAACACTGTCCAGAACACTGTCCAGAACACTGCCCAGAACGCTGGAGACTGGTAGAAAAGGACCCCTGGTTCTTAGGCTGTGAACGGTCCACTCAAAGCCCAGTTTTGAGAGCTCTTTTCTGGGGAGACAGGTCAGACAGTCTGGTTCTCCCACCCCTATACAGGTTTAATTTTAACCCCAGCCCCACTACCTCTGTCTGGGGAAGTCCTCACCGTCTGCACACCCCAACAAACGCACAGGCGCATGCGCACAATAAGCGCACACTTACATACACACACGCACACGCACGCACGCACACACACACACACACACACACACACAAATATTTTGAGTGACTTCCTGTGACTATCGTCTGATCTCGTGGCTGTTTGTGTGACGTGTGTCCTGCAGACCACAGAGAAGGCCCTGTGCTCTGGGTTTAAGACCACAGAGAAGGCCCTGTGCTCTGGGTTTAAGACCACAGAGAAGGCCCTGTGCTCTGGGTTTAAGACCACAGAGAAGGTCCTGTGCTCTGGGTTTAAGACCACAGAGAAGGCCCTGTGCTCTGGGTTTAAGACCACAGAGAAGGCCCTGTGCTCTGGGTTTAAGACCACAGAGAAGGCCCTGTGCTCTGGATTTAAGACCACAGAGAAGGCCCTGTGCTCTGGGTTTAAGACCACAGAGAAGGCTCTGGGTTTAAGACCACAGAGAAGGCCCTGTGCTCTGGGTTTGAGACCACAGAGAAGGCCCTGTGCTCTGGGTTTGAGACCACAGAGAAGGCCCTGTGCTCTGGGTTTGAGATCACAGAGGCCCTGTGCTCTGGGTTTTAGACCACAGAGAAGGCCCTGTGCTCTGGGTTTAAGACCACAGAGAAGGCCCTGTGCTCTGGGTTTTAGACCACAGAGGCGGCCCTGTGCTCTGGGTTTAAGACCACAGAGAAGGCCCTGTGCTCTGGGTTTAAGACCACAGAGAAGGCCCTCTGCTCTGGGTTTAAGACCACAGAGAAGGTCCTGTGCTCTGGGTTTAAGACCACAGAGAAGGCCCTCTGCTCTGGGTTTAAGACCACAGAGAAGGCCCTGTGCTCTGGGTTTAAGACCACAGAGAAGGCCCTGTGCTCTGGGTTTAAGACCACAGAGAAGGCCCTGTGCTCTGGGTTTAAGACCACAGAGAAGGCCCTGTGCTCTGGGTTTAAGACCACAGAGAAGGCTCTGGGTTTTAGACCACAGAGAAGGCCCTGTGCTCTGGGTTTAAGACTAAAGAGAAGGCCCTGTGCTCTGGGTTTAAGACTAAAGAGAAGGCCCTGTGCTCTGGGTTTAGAACCACAGAGAAGGCCCTGTGCTCTGGGTTTAAGACCACAGAGAAGGCCCTGTGCTCTGGGTTTAAGACCACAGAGAAGGCCCTGTGCTCTGGGTTTAAGACCACAGAGAAGGTCCTGTGCTCTGGGTTTAAGACCACAGAGAAGGCCCTGTGCTCTGGGTTTAAGACCACAGAGAAGGCCCTGTGCTCTGGGTTTAAGACCACAGAGAAGGCCCTGTGCTCTGGGTTTAAGACCACAGAGAAGGCCCTGTGCTCTGGGTTTAAGACCACAGAGAAGGTCCTGTGCTCTGGGTTTAAGACCACAGAGAAGGTCCTGTGCTCTGGGTTTAAGACCACAGAGAAGGCCCTGTGCTCTGGGTTTAAGACCACAGAGAAGGCCCTGTGCTCTGGGTTTAAGACCACAGAGAAGGCCCTGTGCTCTGTGTAACCCAGGGTTAAAATCCAGTCCAGGTTTTCCCCTACACTCCTGGTTCATACCTGGTTTTCTCTGCAGGCTGCATGACATGCTCCTGCCCACACACCTGAAGTGAGTGAGCGCTAATTAGACAGAGGTAAAAGCTGCCCTGGCTCCTCTCTGTTCACTGTGGTGGGAGAGAAGCCAGGAGACAGCAGCTGCAGGTCAGAAACCTAACTTTTGAATAATACAATTCAAACTTCACTCATACACTCAACTTTCAATTGTTAATTTCCAGAGTCCATAGTGTCCATTGTTTGTGGATTGGTTACTGTTCATGGGCAGGGATTTGAACTGAACTGGTGAGTTGTGTTGTCATGTACATTTAGTTAGCGTAGCTACATGCTAACTAGCCGACATGCTAAACTGTTTTTATCAAAGTTGTTAGCTGTACGATCATGTGTTTTGGTTTATGTAATTAGCCAATGCTTATTAGCATTAGCATGCTAACATGCTAATTAGCATTTAGCTAACACAGGATTATTTTTTGTTGGGAACCATGCTCTCCTTGTTTTGAGCGTTTCCGGGATATTTTATTAGCATAGCTTATGCTAGTTTTTTGTATTTGGTACCATGTTGTTATTTTGTATGTACAACTTAAGTGGCCTTGTTTGTACAGGCCAGGTGACCCAACTCCGGGTCAGGTGATGGCGAGCTAGAGAGAAGTGCCTGGAACAGTCCATCGTATCATTGGTCCACACTACTGGTCTGGTAGGAGGCTCAGCCTGTCTCCTTCTTCCACCCGTCGTGGGTTTACACCACTCCATATTCAGACTCTGCAATACAACCGCGCTTGGCCATACGTCATTTTCTGCCAATAACAATCACTGGACATTCCGTGGTGCGCCACCGTGTGGGCAGTACTGTACCGCTCAAACCCTGGAATACGGGTTGGATAAAGACTGTAGTTCTTTTGATTAGTTGGATTTTCCGTTGTTACCGGTATTTTCCTGCACTGTAAATATTTGGTTATTGTTCACTTTTATATATTTTGTAAAATACACTTACTTTAAACTTACCTTTTGGTTCCTGGTTGGTTTTTCACTGTTCCTATCCTCCAGTAGCGTACCTACTCTTCTGATCCCACTAGTCTATACTTAAAAGTCAACTCCATTATTCTATTAAACATTAATAACCAGTTGAACAGAGAAGGCCCTGTGCTCTGGGTTTAAGACCACAGAGAAGGCCTTGTGCTCTGGGTTTAAGACCACAGAGAAGGCCCTGTGCTCTGGGTTTAAGACCACAGAGAAGGCCCTGTGCTCTGGGTTTAAGACCACAGAGAAGGCTCTGGGTTTAAGACCACAGAGAAGGCTCTGGGTTTAAGACCACAGAGAAGGCTCTGGGTTTAAGACCACAGAGAAGGCTCTGGGTTTAAGACCACAGAGAAGGCTCTGGGTTTAAGACCACAGAGAAGGCTCTGGGTTTAAGACCACAGAGAAGGCCCTTTGCTCTGGGTTTGAGACCACAGAGAAGGCCCTGTGCTCTGGGTTTGAGACCACAGAGAAGGCCCTGTGCATGTTCTCCCCGTGTCTGCGTTGGATTCCTCCAGGTGCTCCGGTTTCACACTGAAGGCATCAAAATATGAATGAACTCATGTGGAATTATGTTTGACTAAAAAAGAAGTATGAAACTACTGAAAATATGTTTTGAATTTTAGGTTCTTCAAAGTACACACACACACACATATACACAGACACACACACACACAAATTGACCATTTAAAGACATGGTTTTTACATTTGAACTATTTTGATGTTGTTTTATTATTTTTTATTTTTTTAAACAATTATTACACATTTAAAAACATCCTGATCACAGGACTTTCTCTGGTCTCTTTCTCTGGTCTCTTTCTCTGGTCTCTTTCTCTGGTCTCTTTCTCTGGTCTCTTTCTCTGGTCTCTTTCTCTAGTCTCTTTCTCTGGTCTCTTTCTCTAGTCTCTCTCTCTGGTCTCTCTCTCTGGTCTGATTTGTTCAAACATTTCACATTTACGAGGCCCTTTCTGTCGGACCAACGACCTGTTACCATGGAAACAGAGAAGTTAGAGACCCGAGCTTTAAATGGAAGAGACTGAGCAGTTCGTGGAAACGTTTACATCAGATTAAAACATTTCCGTCTTCAGAAAAAGTGACGATGACGAGATAAGAACATGTTCAAGAGACGGCGATCAGTGAGACCAGACCCAGACCAGACCAAGTCCTGGTTTAGACCGGCTTCAGTCCTGGTTTAGACCGGCTTCAGTCCTGGTTTAGTCCGGCTTCAGACCTGGTTCAGACCTGGTCCAGTCCTGGTCCAGACCATGGACATCAGAGTCCTGCTTCTGTCCCTTTGCTGTCTGGGTAAGTGTTTGAATTCTCTTGTTCTATTTTTCAGACTTTTTGTTTGGTTCAAACGTAAACAGAGAAGTTGCTTCTGAACCAGAGCTTTTTAAAAAGTGTAGATTTTAGAAAACATTGTGTTGAAGCTGAAGACCCTTTAATCTGCCTCTTTATGTGACAAGGTTTTTATTGTCGGCTTTGAATAAATAGATTAAAAACAACCAAACTAAACCTTGTAGATCCTTGTTTGTTGGTGATTTAGGTCCCCGAGCTTTAGCCTCAGAGCTGCAGAGGAGGAGAGGAGGCGGTGGGGGCCGTCTCCATGGAGACAGCAGAGACTGTGAAACATATCAGTCAGAATGAGAGAAAGTGAAGGAGGAATGGGCTCTGGACTTTCTCTGGTCTCTCCATGGTCTCTCTCTGGTCTCTCTCTGGTCTCTCTCTGGACTCTCTCTGGTCTCTCTCTGGTCTCTCTCTGGTCTCTCTCTCTCTGGTCTCTCTCTGATCTCTCTCTGATCTCTCTCTGGTCTCTCTCTGGTCTCTCTCTCTCTGGTCTCTCTCTGGTCTCTCTCTGGTCTCTCTCTGGTCTCTCTCTGGTTTTTCAGTGTTCCTCAGTTGTGTGTCGCCCTGTGTCATGTGACCCACAGTCGACATTTTGTAACACAACTTCCCTGTGTGCAGGGGTCCTGGGAGACACACACAACTCATCAGGTAACACACACACACACACACACACACACACACACACACACACACACACACACACACACACACACACACACACACTGACAGTGTCTCCTGTTCCAGGGTCTTACAGTCTGAGGCTGGAGGGAGGAGCCAGTCGCTGTCAGGGGGAGGTGCAGCTGCAGAGACCAGGTCTGGACTGGACTCCACTGGATCCAGACTCAGACTATTCTGTCTCTGTTCATCTGGAGTTTGGATCCAGAGTCTGCTCTGAGCTGGACTGTGGCTCTGCTCTGTCTCTGGAGGAAAAAACAGTTAAAAAACAAAAAGCTGTGAGAGTCAAAGACGACTGTGATGAACCTGAACTGATCGACTGTTTTTATAAAGAAACATCTGACTCTGATCGAAGTCTTCATCTCAACTGCTCAGGTCAGACACACTCACCTTTTCACACCAACATTTATCACTTCACCATCATCAGAAGGAGGCGCAGCTTTGACACTGAGTCAGAAGGAGGCGCAGCTTTGACACTGAGTCAGAAGGAGGCACAGCTTTGACACTGAGTCAGAAGGAGGCGCAGGTTTGACAGTGAGTCAGAAGGAGGCGCAGGTGTGACACTGAGTCAGAAGGAGGCGCAGGTGTGACACTGAGTCAGAAGGAGGCGCAGGTGTGACACTGTCAGAAGGAGGCGCAGGTGTGACAGAGTCAGAAGGAGGCGCAGGTGTGACAGAGTCAGAAGGAGGCGCAGGTGTGACAGAGTCAGAAGGAGGCGCAGGTGTGACAGTCAGAAGGAGGCGCAGGTGTGACAGTCAGAAGGAGGCGCAGGTGTGACAGTCAGAAGGAGGCGCAGGTGTGACAGTCAGAAGGAGGCGCAGGTGTGACAGTCAGAAGGAGGCGCAGGTGTGACAGTCAGAAGGAGGCGCAGGTGTGACAGAGTCAGAAGGAGGCGCAGGTGTGACAGAGTCAGAAGGAGGCGCAGGTGTGACAGAGTCAGAAGGAGGCGCAGGTGTGACAGAGTCAGAAGGAGGCGCAGGTGTGACAGTGAGTCAGGAGGCGCAGGTGTGACAGTGAGTCAGGAGGCGCAGGTGTGATAGTGAGTCCAGAGTGTGATGAAGACCTCTCTGTCTCAGACTCTGTGTCCAGAGTGTGATGAAGACCTCTCTGTCTCAGACTCTGTGTCCAGAGTGTGATGAAGTCCTCTCTGTCTCAGACTCTGTGCGGCTGGTTGGAGGCTCTGGTCTCTGCTCTGGAGCACTGCAGATATGGGACCAGTCCTGGATCTCGGTCTGTGAAGGGGCCTTGGACCTGAGGGGAGCAGAGGTGCTGTGCAGGGAGCTGGGCTGCAGGGGTCCTTCTGTCCTCCAGGGGGAGCTCTCTTCTCTGGGGCAGACATTCCACTGTGAAGGCCATGAGTCTGCTCTGGTGGACTGTCCCCGCTCCAGACCCAAGACCTGTCCCTCTGGACCCAGTGAGGACATCATCTGCTCAGGTGAGGGGTGGGGCTTATGTGAGGGCGGGGCTTGTGTAAGGGGCGGGGCTTCACTCTCTCTCTTGTTGTTGCTCAGAGCCGCTCAGGCTGGAGGGAGGAGCCAGCCGCTGTGCTGGGATCCTGGAGCTCAGACACAGAGGAGAGTGGAGACGAGTGTGGCCTACTGGAGCCTGGCCCCTGGAGCAGACAGCAGCTGTGTGCAGAGACCTGGACTGTGGGTCTGCTGTTTATGGCACAGACGTGTCTGGTTTACCACAGAGTCCTGTGTGGAGGGTCTCAGAGTTCTGTGGGAGTAAGTCTCCAGTGAGAGACTGTGCTGTGCCCTCTCCCTCCTCCATATCCTGGGGTCTGAAGGTGAAGTGTTCAGGTGAGAGTCTGAGTCTGAACTAAATGTTTTATTGACACTAATGTTCCTCCTGTTCTTCAAGTCCCTCACACCTGTGGATCAGGACTGAGGCTGTAGACCCAAGACTGACATGAAGTATGCTAACGTGTAGTATGCTAACGTGTAGTATGCTAACGTGTCTCAGACTCTGTGTCCAGAGTATGATGAAGACCTCTCTGTCTCAGACTCTGTGTCCAGAGTGTGATGAAGACCTCTCTGTCTCAGACTCTGTGCGGCTGGTTGGAGGCTCTGGTCTCTGCTCTGGATCACTGCAGATCTGGGACCAGTCCTGGATCTCGGTCTGTGAAGGGGCCTTGGACCTGCGGGGAGCAGAGGTGCTGTGCAGGGAGCTGGGCTGCAGGGGTCCTTCTGTCCTCCAGGGGGAGCTCTCTTCTCTGGGGCAGACGTTCCACTGTGAAGGCCATGAGTCTGCTCTGGTGGACTGTCCCCGCTCCAGACCCAAGACCTGTCCCTCTGGACCCAGTGAGGACGTCATCTGCTCAGGTGAGGGGCGGGGCTAAGGTGGGCGGGGCTTTAGTACAATGTAAATCAATCAATCCATGAAAGCATAACAACATCCTAAAGCAAGGAGAGAAAACAAATAAGAAGAATAATAATCAGACTTTTATCCAAAGAGAAGGCATCAAGAATCTTCACCTTTTTTGGAGCTTTTTTTGCTCTGTTTCAACTGAACATTCTGCTAAATTGTGACATAATAAAGACGCTCACAGTATTTAAATCTTTCTCACTTGACTTAAATATCAAAAGTGAGTTTCTTTATGTTATAAGTCTCCAAAGAACCCTAATGATATTGACAAAAGACATGACTTAATATTCAGTTTAAATGTCTATGTGTGTGTGGACTGGGTCGCCGAGGTCTCCGCCTTCGACTGCAGCCCAGTCCTCTCTGCACCGTTTCGCCACCACGGACCCCTCTGCAGGTGGTGGGCCCACAGGAGGGACTGCCCACGTCACCCCTTTGGGCTGAGCCCGGCCGGGCCCCATGGGCTAAGGCCCGGCCACCAGGCGCTCGCATACGAGCCCCGACCCCAAGCCTGGCTCCAGGGTGGGGCCCCGGCTGCGTCATGCCGGGCGACGTCACTGCTCTTGAATTAATGCTGTCCATGGTGTCTTCGGACTGCGCTTCATCTGACTTGTCACCCGAGACCTGTCTGCCATGGGAGACCCTACCAGGGGCATGAAGCCCCAGACAGCATAGCTCCCAGGATCATCCGAGTACTCAAACTCCCCCACCACGTTAAAGTGGCAGTCCAGGAGGGACCAGCTCTACACTCTCCATCGGATACTCGAGGGTTCATGGGAGTTTGCCCAACCTGTCCACATGTGCTTTGTGGATTTGGAGAAGGCGTTTGACCGTGTTCCCCGGGGGGTTCTCTGGAGGGTTCTCCGGGAGTACGGGGTCCGGGGTCCTCTGCTGAGGGCCGTTCGGTCCCTGTATGACCGGAGCCAGAGCTGTGTTCGCATCGCCGGGAGTAAGTCAGACCTGTTCCCGGTGCATGTTGGCCTCCGACAGGGCTGCTCTTTGTCACCGGTTCTGTTCACTGTATTTATGGACAGAATTTCTAGGCGCAGCCAGGGGCCGGAGGGGGTTCGGTTCGGGGACCACAGGATTTCATCTCTGCTTTTTGCCGACGATTTTGTCCTGTTGGCTCCAACAAACCAGGACGGACGGTTTGCAGCCGAGTGTGAGGCGGCTGGGATGAGAATCAGCACCTCCAAATCCGAGGCCATGGTGCTCGACCGGAAAAAGGTGCCTTGCCCTCTCCAGGTGGGTGGAGAGGTCCTTCCTCAAGTGGAGGAGTTCAAGTATCTCGGGGTCTTGTTCACGAGTGAGGGAAGGATGGAGCGTGAGATTGACAGGCGGATCGGTGCAGCGTGCGCAGTGATGCGGTCGCTGTATCGGACCGTTGTGGTAAAGAGGGAGCAGCGTCTGCAGTCAGAGCTGTATCAGACCGTTGTGGTAAAGAGGGAGCAGCGTCTGCAGTCAGAGCTGTATCGGACCGTTGTGGTGAAGAGGGAGCAGCGTCTGCAGTCAGAGCTGTATCGGACCGTTGTGGTGAAGAGGGAGCAGCGTCTGCAGTCAGAGCTGTATCGGACCGTTGTGGTAAAGAGGGAGCTGAGCCGAAAGGCAAAGCTCTCGATTTACCGGTCAATCTTCGTCCCCTCCCTCACCTATGGTCATGAGCTTTGGGTAATGACCGAAAGAACGAGATCGCGGATACAAGCGGTCGAAATGAGCTTCCTCCGCAGAGTGGCTGGGCGCTCCCTTAGAGATAGGGTGAGGAGCTTGGTCACACGGGAGGAGCTCGGAGTAGAGCCGCTGCTTCTCCACGTCGAGAAGAACCAGTTGAGGTGGCTCGGGCATCTGTTCCGAATGCCTCCTGGACGCCTCCCTGGGGAGGTGTTCCGGGCACGTCCCACCGGGAGGAGGCCCCGGGGAAGACCCAGGACACGCATGTCTCTCAGCTGGCCTGGGAACGCCTTGGGGTCCCCCCGGACGATCTGGAGGAGGTGTGTGTGGATAGAGAAGTCTGGGCGTCTCTGCTTAGACTGCTGCCCCCGCGACCCGGCAACGGATGAAGCGGAAGAAAATGGACGGATGGATGTCTATATTTGTATTATTTTATACATAATAACCCAAAATGCTGGCCCCACAGGACAGAATCAGTCTCAGATGATTCAACATCTGTTTGGCAGAAGCCGCATGAGTCTGATTCCTGCAGACCCCAAATCTTGAGCATCTTTTTGTGGATAACATTATTTAGAATTTTGATTGTAAAGAATCTGGTTTGTGAGTCTGTGAGGTGTGACAAACTTCTGTTCAGTGAAGTGTTCAAGTCTAAACAAGTATTTTTCAGTATTATGAGTTTCCATTTATTCCCCAAGACCCCAGATAATCAGTGACACACCTGTGAGAACTGATATTTATATTAGTTTTTAATTCTCTGAGAATATTCTAATAAATAACAATATGGTTGATGAATATATTCTAATAACAATATGGTTGATGAATATATTCTAATAACAATATGGTTGATGAATACTTCTCTCAGAGTCAGGGCTTTCCATCAGTGAGAACATCAGAGTTTATATGATCTGCTGCAAAACACTTTCAGCAGTTTATCTGAAACAAAACCAACTCTCCAGATTCTTTTAGGAACTTTGAACCATATTTGATTTGGTTAAATAAGTAAAAAAAACACCTCTTTTGAGAATATGAAATGATTTACTTCAGTTACTTTGTGTTTTTGTACATGTTTAAACTAATGAGACTTTTATCAAAAACACAGAGCTTCTAAATGTAGTAATAGAATTATACTTGTTTTTAATTCCAGATAAATAGATGTTTTGTTCGTAATACTTAGAGAAGCTCTGAGTTGGGAGAGACTTTAATAAATGCACAGAATGAGGCAGAAATATTGTATTTATGAATTCTATTTGTTATATAAAGTTAGAGTTGTTCTCTTCCAAGGTTGCAATGTCTTTCCTCTTGTTTTAGTTTTTTGATTCCGAGGATATTTCTAGATCCATGTGTCTGTGTGTGTGTGTGACAAACACAGACACACACACAGACACAGACACACACACACACACAGACACACACACACACAAACACACACACAAACACACACACACACACACACACACACACACACAGACACACACACACACACAAACACAGACACACACACACACACACACACACACACACACACACACACACACATGTTTCATTGGATGTGACAGTGTGTCTCAGTGAGCAGCAGACGAGGACAGAGACAGGACTGACCTCACTGTACAGAGACCAGAGTGTGTGTCTGTGTGTATGTGTGTGCGTCACTTTGTGTGTGTGTGTGCCTGTGTGTTTATATGTGTGTGCCTGTGTGCGTGTGTGTCAGTGTGTGTGTGCGTGTTTCTGTGCTTATTTTTGTGTGGGCCTGTGTTTGTTTATGTGTGTATCTGTGTGTGTGCTTGTGTGTGTGTGAGTCAGTTTGTGTAGGTGTGTGTGCGTGTTTGTGTATATCTGTGTGTGTGTATGTGTGTGTGTGTGTATGTCTCTGTGTGTGTACGTGTTTGAGTGTGTATGAATGTCTGTGTGTATGTGTTTGTTTGTGTGTGTCTCCATGTGTTTGTGTAAGTGTGTGTGTGTGTGTTTGTGTGTGTGTTAAAATAAAGTGTAAATAAGTGTATTGTCCGTTGCTCTATAATAGAACCAAATGTTGTCATGTTTGTGTGTCTCACTTGTGCGTCTGCTCTTGGTGTCTGTGTCCAATCCAGTTTTCTCAAATGTGTGTGTGATGTTTGTGTATCTGAAGAGTTGTTGTGTTGCTCAGAGCCGCTCAGGCTGGTGGGAGGGGCCAGTCGCTGCGCCGGGACAGTGGAGCTCAGACACAGAGGAGAGTGGAGACGAGTGAGGAAGACAGGAGGAGTCTGGACCGAGGAGGACTCAGCTGCTGTGTGCAGAGACCTGGACTGTGGGTCTGCTGTTTCTGGACGTCAGAGAGATGGTTTTCCAGTCAGTCCTGTGTGGGTGATCTCACCTGACTGCATGAAGAGGAGGAAGACTAAAGTGAGAGAATGTGTTGATGACGACACTTTCTCCTCCTCGTTTGGTGTGGAGGTGATGTGTTCAGGTAAAAGTCAAAGTCTAACTTAAATCTCTGCTGGAGCTGATGTCTCTGTCTCTGCAGACTTACTGAACCGTCCAGTCCTGTCCCTCTCTGTGACTGTGGGGGCCTCCCAGGTCCAGGACTCCCAGGTCCAGGTCTCCCAGGTCGGGGTGCAGGTGGTGCGTGTGCAGTTGGGGTCTCAGTTCTCGGTCCAGTGCTCGGTGAAGCCTCAGTTCCCAGGAGGCTCCTTCCAGCTGCTCTCTCCCTCTGGGAACCATACCCTGCCTGCTGTCAATCACTCTGCACACTTCCTGTTCAATCACACTGGCCCCGCCCACAAAGGAGACTACACCTGTGTTTACCACCTACAGGTGTTCAACCACAGCTTCACCTCCGAGAGCGAGAGACTGGAGCTGAGGCTGGGAGGTACGAGATACTGCTACTGCTACTGCTGCTACTGCTACTACTGCTGCTGCTGCTACTGCTGTTGATACTGCTACTACTGCTGCTACTACTGAAACTACTGCTGAAACTACTGCTGAAACTAGTAAGTAAGTAAGTAAGCTTTCTTTATATACCGCCTTTCACAGACCAGAGTCTGTGAAAGGCGAAAATTGTTATTTTTTGGGCACTTGTCCTCTCACTCCACACAGAGACAGGAGCGGGGTTGCCAGTACAGGAGGCACATGCCAGACCTATTGTACATATTTTTAGTGGTAGGGGAAACCGGAGTACCCGGAGGAAACCTACGCAGACACAGGGAGAACATGCAAACTCCACTCAGAAAGGCCCTGGTCCGGCCGGGATTCGAACCCAGGACCTTCTTGCTGAGAGGCGAGAGTGCTATCCACTCAGCCACCGTGCCGCCAACTACTGCTGATACTTTTGGTAGATGGTGAGAAACTAAAACTACTCCAGTTTTTAAACTTGATGAAAAAAAGAGAAAACTGCTTCTTCCTTTTCTTTGACTTGAGAAAGAGCAATGAGCTCAGTATCTGTCCATCCATCCATCTTCTTCCCCTTAATCCATGTCTGGGTCAGGGGGGTGGCAGTCAGAGTCCAGTCCACAGAGCACCAGCCCCTCAGAGCTCAGGAACTGTTTTGGGATAAAACATCTGTGTTTTATCGTTCTCTGTGATCCTGGAGACGTGAATCCAGTTTCTCTTGAAGTACTTGTACTTGTACTCTAACCTGTTTTCTCTGGTGTTTTTGTTTTTGCAGTTCAAAGGTTTAACCCGATCATCAGAGTCCTGATTATTCTACTGATGACTCTCCTGTTCATCCTGCCACTGTGCTACTGCTGCTACAAGGTACTACTACTACTACTACTACTGCCACTGTGCTACTGCTGCTACAAGGTACTACTAATAATAATAATACATTTTATTTATAATGCACTTTACATTTCAGGGAAACCTCAGAGTGCTACAAAAACAGGGAACATCCCCAAGATACACAACATAAAAACAATACATCAAATATAACATCAGGAAAAAATAAAAACATAATTACTGTACATATCTAGAAGGCCTGTTTGAATAGAAATGTCTTTAGGCCTTTCTTAAAAGCCTCCACACTTTGTGGGGCCCTAAGGGTTTCTGGGAGGGCATTCCAGAGCCGGGGGGCTACTGCCTGAAAGGCCCTTTCTCCCATGGTGGAGAGTTTGGTCCTGGGTTGGTGCAGGCAGTGGGAGGAGGTGGTTGAACGGAGACTTCGAGAGGCGGTGTGTGGTGTTAGGAGTTCACTGAGGTAGGCAGGGGCAGTTCCGTGTGTGCATTGATATGTGAGGAGGCAGAGTTTGTACTGTATTCTGTGTTTGATGGGCAGCCAGGGGAGTGATTTGAGGACGGGTGAGATGTGGTCATATTTGCGCCTCCTTGTCAGGACCCGGGCAGCACAGTTCTGGATGTACTGGAGTTTTTGCAGACCCTTTGCAGAGGTCCCGACAAGGAGGGCATTGCAGTAATCCAACCTGGAGGAGACAAAGGCATGGATCAGCTTCTCAGCGTCCGGTTGTGAGAGGGAGGGGCGGAGTCTGGCAATGTTTTTGAGGTGAAGGAAGGAGACTTTACAGAGGTGGCGGATGTGGGTATCAAATGTAAAATTAGAGTCGAGCCTGACTCCAAGGTTATTAACAGATGTGGACAGGGGGATGTTATGGCCAAAAATTGAAACACTGCTGAGAGAGGAGGACTGGGTTTGGTGGGGGGTGCCAAAGAGGATTGCATCAGTTTTACCACTGTTGAGTTGAAGAGAATTGTTGTCCATCCATGCCTTTAGCTCCTCCAGACAAAGCTGAAGGGCTGACGTAAAACCTGTGGGTGAAGTGGAGTCCATTTTCAGGTATAACATCGGCGTAGCAGTGGAAAGAAATGTTGTGTCTGTTGATGATTTGACCAAGGGGGAGCATGTATATTGTAAAAAGGGTTGGCCCGAGGACTGAGCCTTGCGGTACCCCACAGGTAACTGAATGGGGTGACGATTTGTACTGGCCTAGGGACACATATTCTGTTCTGTCAGTGAGATATGAATGAAACCATTTGAGTGTTGTCTGTGAAAGTCCAATTACTGATTGTAGTCTATGGAGGAGAATGGTGTGGTCCACGGTATCAAAGGCCGCTGACAGATGGAGGAGGAGGAGAGAGGGTGAGCCCCGGTCCGCAGTCATGAGTAGGTCATTCATGACGCGGACCAAGGCTGTCTCTGTACTGTGGGCTGAGCGGAAACCAGATTGAAATTTCTCATATAGGTTATGGGAGCGTAAGTGATTGTGGAGTTGGGCTGCTACTGCTTTTTCGAGGACTTTGGAGAGGAATGGGAGGTTTGAGACTGGTCTGTAGTGGGCTAGGATGTTGGGGTCAAGTGAAGGTTTTTTCAGGTGGGGGCAGATTACTGCATTTTTGAGAACTGGGGGGACCTGACTGGATTTTAGTGACTGGTTAATGATTTCTGTTGAAAAGTTTGATTTGAGAAGTGTTGTGGGGAGAGGATCCAGCAGACAGGTGGAGGGCTTCATGCTGCTTATGATCCTCTCCACTTCAGACTGGGAGATATCCAAGAAGGAGGTAAAGGTGTTGGGCGGCTTAGGAAAGATTATGTCAGTTGGAAATGGGGTAGTGGAAGGAAGGGCAGACCGGATTGACATTACCTTGTTGGTGAAGTAGTCCATGAACCTATTGCAATGGTCCGTACTGGTGTCAGACAGTGTGTGTGTGTGAGGTTTGACCAGAGTGTTTATTTCAGAAAATAATCGTTTTGAATTGCCAGTGCTATCTGAGATTTTTTGTGAAAAATAGCAGGATCTTGCCGTGGTGAGTGCTCTGGTATATGTTTTTTGATGTTCACGGTATGCCTGTTTGTGGACTAGTAAGAGGTGTAGCGCCGCTCGAGGGCTCGGCCAGCTGTCTTCATATTGTGGAGTTCAGGTGTGTACCATGGGGCTGTTCTGGAAAATGTGACTGTTCTGGTTTTAACTGGTGCATGAGAATCAAGGATAATGCGGAGGCTGGAGTTGTAATGAGTGACAGTTTCATTTACAGAAGTGAATTGTGTGACTAGAGAGATTTTATGAATGTCCTGGTTAATGCGGGTGGAGTCAATTGCCTTTAAATTTCTGAAACTGATTTGGCGCTTTGTTTTAATTTGTGTTTCGGCTAAGGGCAGTACCATGGAAATTAATTTGTGGTCGGACACCCCCAAATCATAAACTTGCAGGTTGGAGATGGGGACGTTGTCTGTTATAACAAGGTCAAGAATATGGCCTTTTGTGTGGGTGGGTTCTGAGACATGTTGTGATAGATGTAAACAGTCCAAGAGTTCGAGAAATTCTGCAGCAAGACAATTATTTGTAGATTTAATGTGGATGTTGAAATCTCCCAGAATGAGATTACTACTACTACTACTACTGCTGCTACTGCTGCTACAAGGTACTAATACTACTACTACTGCTACTGCTACTACTGCTGCTACAAGGTACAACTGCTGCTACAAGGTACTAATACTACTACTACTACTGCTGCTACAAGGTACTACTACTACTACTACTGCTACAAGGTACTACTACTACTGCTACTACTGCTACTACTACTGCTACTACTGCTACTACTGCTGCTACTACTACTACTGCTACTACTACTACTACTGCTGCTGCTACAAGGTACTACTACTACTGCTACTACTACTACTGCTGCTACTGCTGCTATAAGGTACTACTACTGCTACTGCTACTGCTACTGCTGCTACTACAAGTTACTGCTAATACTACTACGACAAGGTATTACTAATAATACTACTACAGCTACATCTAAAGGTACTACTACTTCTACTACTAAAAGGTATTACTACTTTATTTTTTTTTTCTTGTTTTGTTTTTTTATATCCTAGCCCGGAGCGACCCGGGGGAGAGGGCCCAGAGGGAGGGTAGCGACCCGGGGGGAGAGGGCCCAGAGGGAGGGGAGCGACTCGGGGGAGAGGGCCCAGAGGGAGAGGAGCGACCCGAGGGAGAGGAGCGACCCGAGGGAGAGGAGCGACCCGAGGGAGAGGAGCGACCCGGGGGGAGAGGGCCCAGAGGGAGAGGAGCGACCCGGGGGAGAGGAGCGACCCGGGGGAGAGGGCCCAGAGGGAGGGGAGCGACCCGGGGGGAGGCCCGGGTACTGCAGGACTTGGCCTCTTTAAAAGTGGCCTCACCTGCTAAAAAAAACCTCCCTGAGCTCCTTTGACTGGGCTTGGGGATGTGCCCACAGTGCTTCAAGAAATGTGCTCCAGTTATCCTTCGTCAGATCTACCAGGTGGATACCAGGTGGATACCAGGTGGATACCAGGTGGATACCAGGTCGATTAATGAAATATTTTGTGTTTTTGCGTCTTCTTCGATTTGTTTTATCCATTGTTTCATTTTGTTTGCCACACACATGTACAGGACAGACTTCTGCAGTACACCAGACACACACATGTACAGGACAGACTTCTGCAGTACACCAGACACACACATGTACAGGACAGACTTCTGCAGTACACCAGACACACACATGTACAGGACAGACTTCTGCAGTACACCAGACACACACATGTACAGGACAGACTTCTGCAGCACACCAGACACACACATGTACAGGACAGACTTCTGCAGTACACCAGACACACACATGTACAGGACAGACTTCTGCAGTACACACCAGACACACACACATGTACAGGACAGACTTCTGCAGTACACCAGACACACACATGTACAGGACAGACTTCTGGCAGACTGAGGCGCAGCGACTGGAGACTGTTAGTGACCCAGGACTGAGGACTGTAGACACAGGGACTGAGGCAGCTTTGACAGTGAGTAGACCCAGCAGAAGGAGGCGCAGGTTTGACACTGAGTCAGAAGAAGGCGCAGGTTTCACAGTGAGTCAGAAGGAGGCGCAGGTTTCACAGTGAGTCAGAAGGAGGCGCAGGTTTGACAGTGAGTCAGAAGGAGGCGCAGGTTTGACAGTGAGTCAGAAGGAGGCGCAGGTTTGACACTGAGTCAGAAGGAGGCGCAGGTTTGACACTGAGTCAGAAGGAGGCGCAGGTTTGACACTGAGTCAGAAGGAGGCGCAGGTTTGACGGTCAGTCAGAAGGAGGCGCAGGTTTGACAGTGAGTCAGAATGAGGCGCAAGTTTGACATAGAGTCAGAAGGAGGTGCAGGTTTGACAGTGAGTCAGAAGGAGGAGCAGGTTTGACAGTGAGTCAGAAGGAGGCGCAGGTTTGACAGTGAGTCAGAAGGAGGCGCAGGTTTGACAGTGAGTCAGAAGGAGGCGCAGGTTTGACCGTGAGTCAGAAGGAGGCGCAGGTTTGACAGTGAGTCAGAAGGAGGCGCAGGTTTGACAGTGAGTCAGAAGGAGGCGCAGGTTTGACAGTGACTCATGTGAACGTTCTATCTTCAGTTTCATCAAAGACAGTCCCTGATGATGTCACACACAGGAGAAAGTACAGAACACACACACAACACAACAGGGAGAGCAACACACAGAACAACACAGCTTTCTATGGACCCGCTACAATACAATACAAAACAGAGACACAATTACACACACCAGGACTCAATCAAGGATGAAGAAATACAAACACACACACGCTAATATTTCAGTCCATGGACCTGAAAGCACAGACATCTTGGGTCCCCAGGGGCTCAGTGAAAGTATTTATTTGAATGGCACATGTCTCACAGTGATGTCTGCTGTGGAGCTCTGTGTCTCAGACTCTGTGTCCAGAGTGTGATGAAGACCTCTGTGTCTCAGACTCTGTGTCCAGAGTGTGATGAAGACCTCTGTGTCTCAGACTCTGTGTCCAGAGTGTGATGAAGACCTCTCTGTCTCAGACTCTGTGTCCAGAGTGTGATGAAGACCTCTGTGTCTCAGACTCTGTGTCCAGAGTGTGATGAAGACCTCTGTGTCTCAGACTCTGTGTCCAGAGTGTGATGAAGACCTCTGTGTCTCAGACTCTGTGTCCATAGTGTGATGAAGACCTCTCTGTCTCAGACTCTGTGTCCAGAGTGTGATGAAGACCTCTCTGTCTCAGACTCTGTTTCCAGAGTGTGATGAAGACCTCTGTGTCTCAGACTCTGTGTCGAGAGTGTGATGAAGACCTCTCTGTCTCAGACTCTGTGTCCAGAGTGTGATGAAGACCTCTCTGTCTCAGACTCTGTGTCCAGAGTGTGATGAAGACCTCTGTGTCTCAGACTCTGTGTCCAGAGTGTGATGAAGACCTCTGTGTCTCAGACTCTGTGTCCAGAGTGTGATGAAGACCTCTGTGTCTCAGACTCTGTGTCCATAGTGTGATGAAGACCTCTCTGTCTCAGACTCTGTGTCCAGAGTGTGATGAAGACCTCTCTGTCTCAGACTCTGTTTCCAGAGTGTGATGAAGACCTCTGTGTCTCAGACTCTGTGTCGAGAGTGTGATGAAGACCTCTCTGTCTCAGACTCTGTGTCCAGAGTGTGATGAAGTCCTCTCTGTCTCAGACTCTGTGCGGCTGGTTGGAGGCTCTGGTCTCTGCTCTGGATCACTGCAGATATGGGACCAGTCCTGGATCTCGGTCTGTGAAGGGGCCTTGGACCTGAGGGGAGCAGAGGTGCTGTGCAGGGAGCTGGGCTGCAGGGGTCCTTCTGTCCTCCAGGGGGAGCTCTCTTCTCTGGGGCAGACGTTCCACTGTGAGGGCCATGAGTCTGCTCTGGTGGACTGTCCCCGCTCCAGACCCAAGACCTGTCCCTCTGGACCCAGTGAGGACGTCATCTGCTCAGGTGAGGGGCGGGGCTTATGTGAGGGCGGGGCTTGTGTAAGGGGCGGGGCTTCACTCTCTCTCTTGTTGTTGCTCAGAGCCGCTCAGGCTGGAGGGAGGAGCCAGCCGCTGTGCTGGGATCCTGGAGCTCAGACACAGAGGAGAGTGGAGACGAGTGGAGCCTACTGGAGCCTGGCCCCTGGAGCAGACAGCAGCTGTGTGCAGAGACCTGGACTGTGGGTCTGCTGTTTATGGGACACAGGTGTCTGATTTACCACAGAGTCCTGTGTGGGAGGTCTCAGAGTCCTGTGTGAGGAGGTCTCCAGTGAGAGACTGTGCTGTGCCCTCTCACTCCTCCAGGTCCTCTGGTCTGAAGGTGAAGTGTTCAGGTGAGAGTCTGAGTCTGAACTAAATGTTTTATTGACACTAATGTTCCTCCTGTTCTTCAAGTCCCTCACACCTGTGGATCAGGACTGAGGCTGTAGACCCAGGACTGAGGCTGTAGACCCAGGACTGAGGCTGTAGACCCAGGACTGAGGCTGTAGACCCAGGACTGAGGCTGTAGACCCAGGACTGAGGCTGGAGGCTGTAGACCCAGGACTGAGGCTGTAGACCCAGGACTGAGGCTGGACTGAGGCTGTAGATCCAGGACTGAGGCTGTAGACCCAGGACTGAGGCTGTAGATCCAGGACTGAGGCTGTAGACCCAGGACTGAGGCTGTAGACCCAGGACTGAGGCTGTAGACCCAGGACTTAGTCTTAATCCTCTAAAGACATGGGTCATTTTGGGGATCCTTCCTCGCCTGGTTTTCTTTGTGTATAATTGTTCATAAAACAGTGTTTTGAGGCAGAGTCAACAGTAGACTTTGTTTTTTTCAGTCCAACCTGGGGTTTTAGAATATTCATATTGTAAAGCTGTCATATGAATTATATAAAACTTATGGAGTCATGAAGACAAAGAAAATAATCAAATGGAAAATCAATGTATTAAAAAAACAGAAGTGCACAGAAATGTTATTTGGGTTATGGAGATAATGGAAAACTGAATCTGTGACTATTATACTTTTTACAAACGTCCACTATAAAAGCCAAAACTCTGTACTCCTGATGCCCTTCCTGAAGCAGTTTGTCTGTGATGCTGGGGTTGCTTCTGTAGCACAGCTGTAAAAAACGTAAAACATAAGAAACTAAGACAAAAATATATATATATATATTTATATCATACATATATTTATATACATCATATTCACATAATGTCATTTTATTTATGATCGTCTTTATCAATAATGTGCACTCTTCAGCCGGTAATGGGCTCTATGCACCACTTCTGCGTTTTAGCTAAAGCTCCACTTCACTTCCTGTTCGCGGGAAAAGCTTGAGTTTCACTGGAGTTGAGTGGTTTACACGAGTTTCCCAAATAATGCTCAAACGGGAATTAAACTGTGAGGATGCAGTGCATTGTGGGACACAGCAGTGATCTCTGATTGTGCCGTCATTGTGTGTTTATAAAGTTTACAAACGGTCAAAGCTCTACCTCAGAGAGAAAGTTCAGTGACACTTTTGGGTCAGTCTCAGCTGAAAGTATCGATCTAATTATTAAAAAACGTCACTAAAACTCACCTAAAAGCCACAGGAGAGCACAGACAAGAAGTGAACGGGCTGATCTGCGTTAACAGGAAGTGACATCACGCCTCCCCGTGCATACAGCCCATTGCAATCGCAGCTGTAGTTTCAACTGTGGGACAACAAGTGCACACAGAGGAGTGAGACATCTCCCTCTCTGACGATCTTTGGCAGTCCCCGTGTGTTTGTATCTCACAGCTGTTTGTACCTCACGGGTCACCGCTAACATCCGATTGGACACGGACTTTCAGACAAACATAGTTTATCCTCTGTGCATCGCACAGACAAATCAGCCCTGAATATGAACTTCACAGAGGAAAAAAAGTAAGTTGCTACGTAAATTGATCCTTAGTAAAACATGTGCGCAGGTATCGTCGACGATACAGATGGTTCATCTGAGCACAGCTCCTTCTTCCACATGTTGGATGTGTCCGTCTTTGTTTCTTGTGTTTTTATGTAAACACTTTGTCTGTAAAGACCACATCTGTGAAGTGTAGGACTAATATTTGTCCCATGTACAGATTCCTCCAAGTGAGCTGTGGATGTCTGCAGCTCCTTCACAGTAACCATGGGCCTCGTGTGTGCATCTGTGATCAGTGTTGTCCTCGATCAGCAGAGTCTTGGTTGATTTGCAGTTGTGCCGTACTGTTTCTGTACTGCCCTCATAGAACCCTTTCTACTCTCCAGGAGTTAAACACCTCCACACAATAAGTGTGCAGCTCTGAGCAGCACCATAAGTGTGTTCTGTGAGTCAGCAACAAGTCACAACAACATCACGAGACTCTTCTGAGGAGGCAGCAGCTGAAACTGATACTTTCTCTGAGTCTTTATGAGATCTGTCTCAGACTCTGTGTCCAGAGTGTGATGAAGACCTCTCTGTCTCAGACTCTGTGTCCAGAGTGTGATGAAGACCTCTGTGTCTCAGACTCTGTGTCCAGAGTGTGATGAAGTCCTCTCTGTCTCAGACTCTGTGTCCAGAGTGTGATGAAGACCTCTCTGTGTCTCAGACTCTGTGTCCAGAGTGTGATGAAGACCTCTCTGTGTCTCAGACTCTGTGTCCAGAGTGTGATGAAGTCCTCTCTGTCTCAGACTCTGTGTCCAGAGTGTGATGAAGTCCTCTCTGTCTCAGACTCTGTGTCCAGAGTGTGATGAAGACCTCTCTGTCTCAGACTCTGTGTCCAGAGTGTGATGAAGTCCTCTCTGTCTCAGACTCTGTGTCCAGAGTGTGATGAAGACCTCTGTGTCTCAGACTCTGTGTCCAGAGTGTGATGAAGACCTCTGTGTCTCAGACTCTGTGTCCAGAGTGTGATGAAGACCTCTCTGTCTCAGACTCTGTGTCCAGAGTGTGATGAAGACCTCTCTGTCTCAGACTCTGTGTCCAGAGTGTGATGAAGTCCTCTCTGTCTCAGACTCTGTGCGGCTGGTTGGAGGCTCTGGTCTCTGCTCTGGATCACTGCAGATCTGGGACCGGTCCTGGGTCTCGGTCTGTGAAGGGGCCTTGGACCTGAGGGGAGCAGAGGTGCTGTGCAGGGAGCTGGGCTGCAGGGGTCCTTCTGTCCTCCAGGGGGAGCTCTCTTCTCTGGGGCAGACGTTCCACTGTGAAGGCCATGAGTCTGCTCTGGTGGACTGTCCCCGCTCCAGACCCAAGACCTGTCCCTCTGGACCCAGTGAGGACGTCATCTGCTCAGGTGAGGGGCGGGGCTAAGGTGGGCGGGGCTTTAGTACAATGTAAATCAATCAATCCATAAAAGCATAACAAAATCCTAAAGCAAGGACAGAAAACAAATAAGAAGAATAATAATCAGACTTTTTTCCAAAGAGAAGGCATCAAGAATCTTCACCTTTTTGGAGCTTTTTTTGCTCTGTTTCAACTGAACATTCTGCTAAATTGTGAAAGTGTTCAACATAATAAAGACGCTCACAGTATTTAAATCTTTCTCACTTGACTTAAATATCAAAAGTGAAACAGTTTCTTTATGTTATAAGTCTCCAAAGAACCCTAATGATATTGACAAAAGACATGACTTAATATTCAGTTTAAATGTCTATATGTGTGTGTGGACTCGGTCGCCGAGGTCTCCGCCTTCGACTGACGCCCAGTCCTCTCTGCACCGTTTCGCCACCACGGACCCCTCTGCAGGTGGAGGGCCCACAGGAGGGACTGCCCACGTCACCCCTTTGGGCTGAGCCCGGCCGGGCCCCGTGGGCTAAGACCCGGCCACCAGGCGCTCGCATACGAGCCCCGACCCCAGGCCTGGCTCCCCGGCTGCGCCATGCCGGGCGACGTCACTGCTCTTGAATTAGTGCTGTCCATGGTGTCTTCGGACCGCGCTTCATCTGACTTGTCACCCGAGACCTGTCTGCCATGGGAGACCCTACCAGGGGCATGAAGCCCCAGACAGCATAGCTCCCAGGATCATCCGAGTACTCAAACTCCCCCACCACGTTAAGGTGGCAGTCCAGGAGGGACCAGCTCTACACTCTCCATCGGATACTCGAGGGTTCATGCGGGGTTCGCCCAACCTGTCCACATGTGCTTTGTGGATTTGGAGAAGGCGTTTGACCGTGTTCCCCGGGGGGTTCTCTGGAGGGTTCCCCGGGAGTACGGGGTCCGGGGTCCTCTGCTGAGGGCTGTTCGGTCCCTGTATGACCGGAGCCAGAGCTGTGTTTGCATTGCCGGCAGTAAGTCAGACCTGTGCTCGGTGAATGTTGGCCTCCGACAGGGCTGCCCTTTGTCACCGGTTCTGTTCACTGTGTTTATGGACAGAATTTCTAGGCGCAGCCAGGGGCCGGAGGGGGTCCGGTTCTTTTTGCGGACGATGTTGTCCTGTTGGCTCCAACGAACCAGGACCTGCAACATGCACTGGAGCGGTTTGCAGCCGAGTGTGAAGTGGCTGGGATGAGAATCAGCACCTCCAAGTCCGAGGCCATGGTGCTCGACCAGAAAAAGGTGCCTTGCCCTCTGCAGGTGGGTGGAGAGGTCCTTCCTCAAGTGGAGGAGTTCAAGTATCTCAGGGTCTTATTCACGAGTGAGGGAAGGATGGAGCGTGAGATTGACAGGCGGATCGGTGCAGCGTGCGCAGTGATGCGGTCGCTGTATCGGACCGTTGTGGTAAAGAGGGAGCAGCGTCTGCAGTCAGAGCTGTATCGGACCGTTGTGGTAAAGAGGGAGCAGCGTCTGCAGTCAGAGCTGTATCGGACCGTTGTGGTAAAGAGGGAGCTGAGCCGAAAGGCAAAGCTCTCGATTTACCGGTCAATCTTCGTTCCCTCCCTCACCTATGGTCATGAGCTTTGGGTAATGACCGAAAGAACGAGATCGCGGATACAAGCGGTCGAAATGAGCTTCCTCCGCAGAGTGGCTGGGCGCTCCCTTAGAGATAGGGTGAGGAGCTCAGTCACACGGGAGGAGCTCGGAGTAGAGCCGCTGCTACTCCACGTCGAGAGGAACCAGTTGAGGTGGCTCGGGCATCTGTTCCGGATGCCTCCTGGACGCCCCTCCCTGGGGAGGTGTTCCGGGCACTTCCCACCGGGAGGAGGCCCCGGGGAAGACCCAGGACACGCTGGAGGGACTATGTCTCTCAGCTGGCCTGGGAACGCCTTGGGGTCCCCCCCGGACGATCTGGAGGAGGTGTGTGTGGATAGGGAAGTCTGGGCGTCTCTGCTTAGACTGCTGCCCCCGCGACCCGGCAACGGATGAAGCGGAAGAAAACGGACGGATGGATGTCTATATTTGCATTATTTTATACATAATAACCCAAATTGCTGCCCCCACAGGACAGAACCAGAATCAGTCTCAGATGATTCAACATCTGTTTGGCAGAAGCCGCATGAGTCTGATTCCTGCAGACCCCAAATCTTGAGCATCTTTTTGTGGATAACATTATTTAGAATTTTGATTGTAAAGAATCTGGTTTGTGAGTCTATGAGGTGTGACAAACTTCTGTTCAGTGAAGTGTTCAAGTCTAAACAAGTATTTTTCAGTATTAATTATGAGTTTCCATTTATTCCCCAAGACCCCAGATAATCAGTTACACACCTGTGAGAACTGATATTTATATTAGTTTTTAATTCTCTGAGAATATTCTAATAAATGTCCTTCTTAACAATATGGTTGATGAATATATTCTAATAACAATATGGTTGATGAATATATTCTAATAACAATATGGTTGATGAATATATTCTAATAACAATATGGTTGATGAATATATTCTAATAACAATATGGTTGATGAATATATTCTAATAACAATATGGTTGATGAATATATTCTAATAACAATATGGTTGATGAATATATTCTAATAACAATATGGTTGATGAATATATTCTAATAACAATATGGTTGATGAATACTTCTCTCAGAGTCAGGGCTTTCCATCAGTGAGAACATCAGAGTTGATATGATCTGCTGCAAAACACTTTCAGCAGTTTATCTGAAACAAAACCAAGTCTCCAGATTCTTTTAGGAACTTTGAACCATATTTGATTTGGTTAAATAAGTAAAACAAAAACACCTCTTTTGAGAATATGAAATGATTTATTTCAGTAACTTTGTGTTTTTGTACATTTTTAAACTAATGAGACTTTTATCAAAAACACAGAGCTTCTAAATGTAGTAATAGAATGATACTTGTTTTTAATTCCAGATAAATAGAAATATGTTTTGTTCGTAATACTTAGAGAAGCTCTGAGTTGGGAGAGACTTTAATAAATGCACAGAATGAGGCAGAAATATTGTATTTATGAATTCTATTTGTTATATAAAGTTAGAGTTGTGCTCTTCCAAGGTTGCAACGTCTTTCCTCTTGTTTTAGTTTTTTGATTCTGAGGATATTTCCAGATCCATGTGTCTGTGTGTGTGTGTGTGTGACAGACACAGACACACACAGACACACACACAGACACACACACACACACACACACACACACACACACACACACACACACACACACACACACACACACACACACACACACACACACACACACACACACTGGATGTGACAGTGTGTCTCAGTGAGCAGCAGACGAGGACAGAGACAGGACTGACCTCACTGTACAGAGACCAGAGTGTGTGTGTCTGTGTGTATGCGTGTGTGTCAGTGTGTGTGTGCGTGTTTCTGTGTGTTTATATGTGTGTGCCTGTGTGCGTGTGTGTCAGTGTGTGGGTGCGTGTTTCTGTGCTTATTTTTGTGTGGGCCCGTGTTTGCTTATGTGTGTATCTGTGTGTGTGCTTGTGTGTGTGAGTCAGTTTGTGTAGGTGTGTGTGTATATCTGTGTGTGTGTATGTGTGTGTGTGTGTGTATGTCTCTGTGTGTGTACGTGTTTGAGTGTGTATGCATGTCTGTGTGTATGTGTTTGTTTGTGTGTGTCTCCATGTGTTTGTGTAAGTGTGTGTGTGTGTGTTTGTGTGTGTGTTAAAATAAAGTGCAAATAAGTGTATTGTCCGTTGCTCTATAATAGAACCAAATGTTGTCATGTTTGTGTGTCTCACTTGTGCGTCTGCTCTTGGTGTCTGTGTCCAATCCAGTTTTCTCAAATGTGTGTGTGATGTTTGTGTGTCTGAAGAGTTGTTGTGTTGCTCAGAGCCGCTCAGGCTGGTGGGAGGGGCCAGTCGCTGCGCCGGGACAGTGGAGCTCAGACTCAGAGGAGAGTGGAGACGAGTGGGGAAGGATTATGGAGACTGGACCGAGGAGGACTCAGCTGCTGTGTGCAGAGATCTGGACTGTGGGTCTGCTGTTTCTGGACGTCAGAGATATGATTTTCCATTCACTCCTGTGTGGTGGATCTCAGCTGTCTGCATGAAGAGGAGGAAGACTAAAGTGAGAGACTGTGTTTATGACTTCACTGTCTCCTACACGTATGGTGTGGAGGTGATGTGTTCAGGTAAAAGTCAAAGTCTAACTTAAATCTCTGCTGGAGCTGATGTCTCTGTCTCTGCAGACTTACTGAACCGTCCAGTCCTGTCCCTCTCTGTGACTGTGGGGGCCTCCCAGGTCCAGGACTCCCAGGTCCAGGTCCAGGACTCCCAGGTCCAGGTCCAGGACTCCCAGGTCCAGGTCTCCCAGGTCGGGGTGCAGGTCGTGCGTGTGCAGTTGGGGTCTCAGTTCTCGGTCCAGTGCTCGGTGAAGCCTCAGTTCCCAGGAGGCTCCTTCCAGCTGCTCTCTCCCTCTGGGAACCACACCCTGCCTGCTGTCAATCACTCTGCACACTTCCTGTTCAATCACACTGGCCCCGCCCACAAAGGAGACTACACCTGTGTTTACCACCTACAGGTGTTCGGCCACAGCTTCACCTCCGAGAGCGAGAGACTGGAGCTGAGGCTGGGAGGTATGAGATACTGCTACTGCTACTGATACTACTGCTACTGCTACTGCTACTGCTGCTTCTGCTGATACTGCTACTGCTGCTACTGCTGCTACTGCTGCTACTGCTACTTCTACTACTACTGCTGCTACTGCTTCTGTTACTGCTACTGCTGTTACTGCTACTGCTGCTACTACTACTGCTGCTACTGCTACTGCTGCTACTACTACTGCTGCTACTGCTACTGCTGCTACTACTACTGCTGCTACTACTGCTGCTACTGCTGCTACTGCTACTACTACTACTGCTACTGCTGCTACAAGGTACTACTACTACTACTACTGCTGCTACTGCTACTACTACTACTGCTACTGCTACTGCTGCTACTGCTGCTACTGCTACTGCTACTACTGCTGATACTACTGCTGTTACTACTACTACTACTACTGAAACTACTGCTGAAACTACTGCTGAAACTACTGCTGAAACTACTGCTGATACTACTGCTGATACTACTGCTGAAACTACTACTGATACTACTGCTGAAACTACTGCTGAAACTACAGCTGAAACTACTGCTGAAACTACTGCTGATACTACTGCAGAAACTACTGCTGATACTACTGCTGATACTACTGCTGATACTACTGCTGAAACTACTGCTGATACTACTGCTGATACTACTGCTGATACTACTGCTGAAACTACTGCTGATACTACTGCTGAAACTACCGCTGATACTACTGCTGATACTACTGCTGATACTACTGCTGAAACTACTGCTGATACTACTGCTGATACTACTGCTGATACTACTGCTGAAACTACTGCTGATACTACTGCTGAAACTACTGCTGAAACTACTTCTGAAACTACTGCTGATACTACTGCTGAAACTACTGCTGAAACTACTGCTGAAACTACTGCTGATACTACTGCTGAAACTACTGCTGAAACTACTGCTGAAACTACTGCTGATACTACTGCTGATACTACTGCTTAAACTACTGCTGATACTACTGCTGATACTACTGCTGAAACTACTGCTGAAACTACTGCTGAAACTACTGCTGATACTACTGCTGAAACTACTGCTGAAACTACTGCTGAAACTACTGCTGATACTACTGCTGATACTACTGCTGAAACTACTGCTGATACTACTGCTGAAACTACTGCTGAAACTACTGCTGATACTACTACTGATACTACTGCTGAAACTACTGCTGAAACTACTGCTGAAACTACTGCTGAAACTACTGCTGATACTACTGCTGAAACTACTGCTGAAACTACTGCTGAAACTACTGCTGATACTACTGCTGAAACTACTGCTGATACTACTGCTGATACTACTGCTGATACTACTGCTGATACTACTGCTGAAACTACTGCTGAAAGTACTGCTGAAACTACTGCTGACACTACTGCTGAAACTACTGCTGAAACTACTGCTGATACTACTGCTGAAACTACTGCTGAAACTACTGCTGAAACTACTGCTGAAACTACTGCTGATACTGTTGGTAGATGGTGAGAAACTAAAGAAAGAGAAAACTGCTTCTTCCTTTTCTTTGACTTGAGAAAGAGCAATGAGCTCAGTATCTGTCCATCCATCCATCTTCTTCCCCTTAATCCATGTCTGGGTCGGGGGGGTGGCAGTCAGAGTCCAGTCCACAGAGCACCAGCCCCTCAGAGCTCAGGAACTGTTTTGGGATAAAACATCTGTGTTTTATCGTTCTCTGTGATCCTGGAGACGTGATATTTTCTCTGTGAATCCAGTTTCTCTTGAAGTACTTGTACTTGTACTTGTACTTGTACTTTATCTAACCTGTTTTCTCTGGTGTTTTTGTTTTTGCAGTTCAAAGGTTTAACCCGATCATCAGAGTCCTGATTATTCTACTGATGACTCTCCTGTTCATCCTGCCACTGTGCTACTACTGCTACAAGGTACTACTACTGCTACTACTGCTACTGCTACTACTGCTGCTACTACTGCTACAAGGTACTACTACTACTACTGCTGCTGCTACTACTGCTACAAGGTACTACTACTACTGCTACTGCTGCTACTACTGCTACAAGGTACTACTGCTGCTACTACTACTGCTACTGCTACTACTGCAACAAGGTACTACTACTACTGCTGCTGCTACTGCTACTGCTGCTGCTACTACTGCTACAAGGTACTACTGCTGCTACTGCTGCTACTGCTACTACTGCTGCTACAAGGTCCTACTGCTACTACTGCTGCTACTACTGCTACTGCTGCTACAAGGTACTACTGCTGCTACTACTGCTACTGCTGCTACTGCTACTACTGCTGCTACAAGGTACTACTGCTACTACTGCTGCTACTACTGCTACTGCTGCTACAAGGTACTAATACTACTACTACTACTGCTGCTGCTACTGCTACTACTTTTTTTTTTTTTCTTGTTTTGTTTTTTATATCCATATATATATATATATATATATATATATATATATATATATATATATATATATATATATATATATATATATATATATATATATATATATAGGGCCCAGAGGGAGGGGAGCGACCCAGGGGAGAGGGCCCAGAGGGAGGGGAACGACCCAGGGGAGAGAGCCCAGAGGGAGGGGAACGACCCAGGGGAGAGGGCCCAGAGGGAGGGGAACAACCCAGGGGAGAGGGCCCAGAGGGAGGGAGCGACCCAAGGGAGAGGGCCCAGAGGGAGGGGAGCGACCCAGGGGAGAGGGCCCAGAGGGAGGGGAGCGACCCAGGGGAGAGGGCCCAGAGGGAGGGGAGCGACCCGGGGGAGAGGGCCCAGAGGGAGGGGAGCGACCCAGGGGAGAGGGCCCAGAGGGAGGGGAGCGACCCAGGGGAGAGAGCCCAGAGGGAGGGGAGCGACCCGGGGGAGAGGGCCCAGAGGGAGGGGAGCGACCCGGGGGAGAGGGCCCAGAGGGAGGGGAGCGACCCGGGGGAGAGGGCCCAGAGGGAGGGGAACGACCCGGGGGAGAGGGCCCAGAGGGAGGGGAGCGACCCGGGGGAGAGGGCCCAGAGGGAGGGGAGCGACCCGGGGGAGAGGGCCCAGAGGGAGGGGAGCGACCCGGGGGAGGCCCGGGTACTGCAGGACTTGGCCTCTTTAAAAGTGGCCTCACCTGCTAAAAAACCTCACTGAGCTCCTTTGACTGGGCTTGGGGATGTGCCCACAGTGGTTCAAGAAATGTGGTTTAGTTTTCCTTTGTCAGATCTACCAGGTGGATACCAGGTGGATACCAGGTGGATACCAGGTCGATTAATGAAATATTTTGTGTTTTTGCGTCTTCTTCGATTTGTTTTATCCATTGTTTCATTTTGTTTGCCACACACATGTACAGGACAGACTTCTGCAGTACACCAGACACACACATGTACAGGACAGACTTCTGCAGTACACCAGACACACACATGTACAGGACAGACTTCTGCAGTACACCAGACACACACATGTACAGGACAGACTTCTGCAGTACACCAGACACACACATGTACAGGACAGACTTCTGCAGTACACCAGACACACACATGTACAGGACAGACTTCTGCAGTACACCAGACACACACATGTACAGGACAGACTTCTGCAGTACACCAGACACACACATGTACAGCACAGACTTCTGCAGTACACCAGACACACACATGTACAGGACAGACTTCTGCAGTACACCAGACACACACATGTACAGGACAGACCTGAGAAGGGACGCTTCAAGTTACTACTGCTACTGCTACTGCTACAGCGACTGGTTCAGACCTGGTTCAGACCTGGTTCAGACCTGCTTCAGACCTGCTTCAGACCTGCTTCAGACCTGGTTCAGACCTGGCTTAGACCTGGTTCAGACCTGGTTCAGACCAGTGGATGTCTTGTTGTTTCAGGTTAAGTCCAGAAGAGGCGCTAGTGAGACACATGAGACCATGATCCTGATGACTGAGGTCATCACAGAAGAGGAGAGAGGAGGAGACGGACCAGGAGAGGAGAGAGGAGGAGACGGACCAGAAGGAGAGGAGAGAGGAGGAGACGGACCAGAAGGAGAGGAGAGAGGAGGAGACGGACCAGGAGAGGAGAGAGGAGGAGACGGACCAGAAGGAGAGGAGAGAGGAGGAGACGGACCAGAAGAGGAGAGAGAAGGAGACGGACCAGGAGAAGAGAGAGGAGGAGACGGACCAGGAGAGGAGAGAGGAGGAGAGGGAGCAGGAGAGGAGAGAGGAGGAGACGGACCAGAAGGAGAGGAGAGAGGAGGAGACGGACCAGAAGGAGAGGAGAGAGGAGGAGACGGACCAGGAGAGGAGAGAGGAGGAGACGGACCAGGAGAGGAGAGAGGAGGAGACGGACCAGGAGAGGAGAGAGGAGGAGAGGGAGCAGGAGAAATGAGTGAAGTGTAAATATTTCCCATGATGCTCTGGGTGTAAACGCCTCCTTCTGTTCAGCTTTGATCCTGTTGTTTTATTTCTCTCTGTTCGGGCTCAGAATGAAAAAGCTGTGGATGGAATCTGTCTCATTTATCAACGACACTTGTATGGCACATTCACACACGGATCATACACAGATGTGAAAACAATATTATCTGTTTCTATATTATCTGTATTTAGTGTCTTTTATTGTGTGTACATAATACTGTGTGTTTACTGCGGCTTCTTATATAATCATCTAATTATATGTCATGAGATACCATCAAGACCTAGACCATGGGGGTGTGTGTGTAACCATTGTCATTTATGATAAAAAAATAAATAAAATATTAATAAATGGAACTTGTTGGAGTTCAATGTGTGTGGTTCTAAAGTCAGGTACCCCAGCTTTAAACAGCATTCCGCAGTTTCCACGGCGACCGTGGGAGCTCTGAACCAAAGGTACCAGTGACAGAACAGACACAGAACCAAGGACACAACTGGTCTGAACCAAAGGTACCAGTGACAGAACAGACACAGAACCATGGACACAACTGGTCTGAACCAAAGGTACCAGTGACAGAACAGACTTTCACAGGTGAGGTGTGGGTCTGATGAGAGTAAAGGACTTTCACAGGTGAGGTGTGGGTATGATGAGAGTAAAAGACTTTCACAGGTGAGGTGTGGGTATGATGAGAGTAAAGGACTTTCACAGGTGAGGTGTGGGTCTGATGAGAGTAAAGGACTTTCACAGGTGAGGTGTGGGTCTGATGAGAGTAAAGGACTTTCACAGGTGAGGTGTGGGTCTGATGAGAGTAAAGGACTTTCACAGGTGAGGTGTGGGTATGATGAGAGTAAAGGACTTTCACAGGTGAGGTGTGGGTCTGATGAGAGTAAAGGACTTTCACAGGTGAGGTGTGGGTATGATGAGAGTAAAGGACTTTCACAGGTGAGGTGTGGGTATGATGAGAGTAAAGGACTTTCACAGGTGAGGTGTGGGTCTGGGCGTGGCTACTCACCTTCGCCAGCTTACGCCGGTGAAGAGCCTATGCAGCTTGGAAGAGCCAGGCTAACTCCAGAGGAACGTCTTCGCAGAATACAAGCAGGTGAATGTATTTACTGCAGTCAGCGTGGTCACTTCATTTCTACCTGCCCCACTCGGCCAAAAGAAAGGGCTCACCAGTAATGATGGGGGCCCTGGTGAGCCATTTGTCCATCTCTCCTACCCCCTTCAAAAGAATGCAGCTACCTGCAAAAATATGTTTTAATTCACGAACATTGCCTCTTACTGCTCTAATTGATTCAGGTGCAGAGGAGAATTTTCTTGATTTTGATTTGGCTCTCAAAAATGGACTTGAGATGGAAGCTCTAGATCGTCCTTTAGAAGCTAATGCTTTAGACGGTAGCTTATTGGCCAAAGTAACCCATCGTACGGTTCCACTCACACTCCTGCTTTCTGGAAATCACAAAGAGCAACTGCGTTTTTATTTGATTTCAGCTCCTCATTCGCCCATGATTCTTGGGTACCCTTGGTTACTGCTCCATAATCTACATTTTGACTGGGCAGGAGGTAAAATTCAGAGCTGGAGTTCATTTTGTCATTCTGTTTGTCTGCAGTCAGCTCTCCCTTCCGTCATTGCTTCTCCTAGATCTACTGATCAGCCTGACCTCTCCAACGTCCCTGATGACTATCTTGATCTACGAGCGGTGTTCAGCAAGACACAGGCCTTATGATTGTGCCATAGACCTGCTTCCAGGTGCCCCACTACCCACCAGCAGTCTGTACAATCTATCTCGACCGGAACATGAAGCTATGCAGTGTTACATAAAAGACTCTTTAGCAGCAGGTATTATTAGACCTTCCTCCTCTCCTGTTGGTGCCGGGTTTTTCTTTGTGGAGAAAAAGGACAAGTCGTTGCGCCCTTGTATTGACTTCAGGGGTTTGAATAACATAACTGTCAACAATAAGTATCCGTTGCCCCTGATTGAATAAGCTTTCCAACCACTTCATGAGGCCACAATATTTACTAAGTTGGATTTGAGAAATGCCTATCATCTTGTTGGTATTTGTAAGGGCGATGAATGGAAAACCGCTTTTAATACTACTCTAGGCCACTTTGAGTATCTTGTCATGCCGTTTGGGTTAACAAACGCGCCAGCTGTTTTTCAGGCACTCATTAATGATGTTTTGAGGGATTACTTAAACCATTGCGCTTTTGTTTACCTCGATGATATACTTATTTTTTCTCGTTCCCCAGAAGAACATGTCCTCCACGTGCGACAAGTCTTACAGAGATTACTTGAAAACAAGTTATTTGTCAAAGCAGAGAAGTGTGAATTCCACACAGACTCAGTCAGTTTCCTTGGATATATAATTGGCAGTGGACAGGTGAGGGCGGATCCAGTAAAGATTGAGGCAATCGTCGACTGGCCTCAACCTAAGACTGTTAAACAACTTCAGAGGTTCCTTGGATTTGCCAACTTTTATCGCCGCTTCATTCGAAACTTCAGTAAGGTTGCTGCACCACTTATTCGATTAACCTCCCCCAAAGTTTCTTTTGTCTGGTCCACAGAAGCTGAGGACGCCTTCACGCACCTTAAGAAACTGTTCACTAATGCCCCTGTTTTGATACACCCTGACCCTTCACGTCAGTTTTTAGTTGAAGTCGACGCCTCAGATTCTGGTGTTGGTGCTGTGTCCCGTGGACCATCAGCTCCATCCTTGTGCTTTCTTTTCCCGGCGTTTAAGTCCAGCTGAGCGCAACTACACCATCGGTGACAGAGAGTTACTGGCAGTTAAGATGGCACTGGAGGAGTGGCGCCATCTGTTGGAGGGGGCTGAACATCCATTCGTAGTCTGGACAGACCATAAAAATCTGTCGTACATCAAGTCTGCCAAGCGCTTGAACTCTCGTCAAGCTCGCTGGTCATTGTTTTTTGATAGATTGCATTTTGCTATTACATACAGACCAGGCTCGAAAAATGTGAAGTCTGACGCTCTGTCACGTCAGTTTGTTTCTGCAGATGCACCGGACGAGGCTAATTCCATTCTTCCTTCCACCCGAGTGCTTGGATCCATCACTTGGGAGATAGAGTCGGTTATTCGTGAAGCACAGCAGACTGAACCAGATCCAGGTACTGGACCTCCTGACCGCCTTTTTGTGCCTAACTCTGTTCGATCTCAGGTCATCCATTGGGGGCATACATCTCGGCTATCCTCAAAGACCACATCCCCCCATCCTCAAAGGACTGAGACCACATCCCCCCATCCTCAAAACCACATCCCCCCAATCCTCAAAACCACATCCCCCCATCCTCAAAGACCACATCCCCCCATCCTCAAAGACCACATCCCCCCATCCTCAAAGACCACATCCCCCCCCTCCTCAAAGACCACATCCCCCCATCCTCAAAGACCACATCCCCCCATCCTCAAAGACCACATCCCCCCATCCTCAAAGACCACATCCCCCCATCCTCAAAGACCACATCCCCCCATCCTCAAAGACCACATCCCCCCCCTCCTCAAAGACCACATCCCCCCATCCTCAAAGACCACACCCCCCCATCCTCAAAGACCACAGCCCCCCATCCTGAAAGACCACATCCCCCCATCCTGAAAGACCACATCCCCCCCCTCCTCAAAGACCACATCCCCCCATCCTCAAAGACCACACCCCCCCATCCTCAAAGACCACAGCCCCCCATCCTGAAAGACCACATCCCCCCATCCTGAAAGACCACATCCCCCCCCTCCTCAAAGACCACCCCCCCATCCTCAAAGACCACATCCCCCCATCCTCAAAGACCACAGCCCCCCATCCTCAAAGACCACAGCCCCCCATCCTCAAAGACCACACCCCCCCATCCTCAAAGACCACACCCCCCCATCCTCAAAGACCACACCCCCCCATCCTCAAAGACCACACCCCCCCATCCTCAAAGACCACATCCCCCCCCTCCTCAAAGACCACATCCCCCCATCCTCAAAGACCACATCCCCCCATCCTCAAAGACCATACCCCCCCATCCTCAAAGACCACATCACCCCCATCCTCAAAGACCACACACCCCCCATCCTCAAAGACCACACCCCAAACTATCCATTGACAAACTCTACATGGATGGTGAACTCTAGCCCAACTCCAAACTAACTTATTGGCTCACTGGAGGAAACCAAAGACATGCCGACGAGGAAACTGAGGTAAACACGGTCGCACACCAATGACGTCATCAGAATAACCCAAACTCTCAAACTTATTGAAAGGTTGAGAATGTTTTCCTCTTTTCTTTCCTTTTTTTTAATCTTTCACATACCCTTTCTCAGCCCAGTATAGTTTTAGTGGAACCTTCAAGCTTAAACTACTTACTAGTTTGTTTATTCATCTCTTCATTTTGTTTTCTATACAATCACTCTTTCAAAATGTATTTCATTATTGAGTCATTCTCAATCTTCCGTACTACCTGTTTCTTCTTTGTTATTGTTATTATATTTTTGGTAGGGATGGTAATAATAATATTATTATTATTATCAAAAGGAAAAATATGAAGGTTATTTTGCTTTTGAATTCTATAAACTGTAACAAAAAAAGTATTCAGCGTAAATAAATTCAATGTTTTAAAATTCAGTGTCCAAAAATTTGTTGCATTTTTTTTCGCTGCTTGAAATGTCTTGCTTTATTTCCGGGTAAATCAAGACCAAAGCAATCGATCAGCCAATCCTCCACAGATGTAGCCAGGGCCAGAACACGACTGACTTGTTCATCTGAACATGGCGTCCACAGCAAACCAGTCTGTTTTCTCATCATTAGTTTGTATGTAACAAACCACTGCTGTTTGTACTTTCTGAATATGTTTTTACCTTAGCTTAGCATCAGCTAGCTCCGCGTAGGTGGCTTCTATGTTTTGGCGATTCCCCAAAGCTAATCTTCGCTAATGCTAAGCTAAAATGAACCGCAGCAAAGCCAAGTACACGGGGGTTTG